ACGCCAGGTCGAGATGAATCACGCGCTGCGTGCCCCGCGCACGGCTGTGTAGGAGGAGCGCCCTGGTTTAGATTTGTAGCTGCTGCTTAGGTACTTACTCTTACTGCTGCTGATGCTGCTGCTGCTGATGATGATGCTGACAATGCTGCTGCTGCTGCTGATTATTGTTATTGATGCAGCAGCAGATGATGGCACTGCAAATACTGCTGCTGCTGATGCTGTTGATCATGATTGTTGATGCAACAGATGATGGTGATGATGGCGGCGATGTTGTAAATGTTGCTGATGATGATGTTGATGATGGATGCGCTTCCTGCTGCTGATGATGATGGATTATTGATGCAGCAGCAGATGATGACGGTGAAAATGATGCTGCTGATTATAATTAGTGATGCAACAGCTGATGATGGTGATGTTGATAATGCTGTTCCTGCTGCTGCTGATGATGATTGATGCAGCTGTAACTGCTGCTGCTCCTGTTGTGGCTGATTATGATTTTGGATGCTGCTGCTGCTGATGACGATGATCATCGCTGATGCTGCTGCAGCAATGGTCATCAATTGCTGCAGCAGATTATGATTACGCGTATGCTGATAATGCGTCAATAATATTTGCAGCAGATGATGATGATAATAATGGATCAACGGTAGTTCGAGGTAACGACACCCGAACCTATTTGCTGTACTGCATTGCTCGCGCCCCCCCCCCCCCTCCCGCGATCTTACAATCACAATGTGTGTTTCCACTGGGGGAATCCGATGAGCCACGGCGTTCTTTCTGACAAGACGTCCAAGCAGGATCTCTGCGTGATCCACCAACTTCTCCCTTTAAGCGGGCACGTGGCGAATTCACTCCTGGCCATTCGAAAGTGTGTCACCATTTTCGGATCGCGAATCGATTCGGCATGTGCTCCCTTTTAACCGCCTTCTCTTCTCTCGTTTGCTATGAACATGGGGCATTGCCCGAAACGTCGCCGCTCATATATATTTTGTTCGTTCAAGGCACTGTTCTTAAACAGTTTTTCGTTCGCGTAGAATCCATTTCCACCCACGTGATTCGATGCTTGTTCAGCCCCTTTGTCAATCCACTGATGGATGAGAGCGGATCGTGGGGGGGGGGGGCGGGGGGGGCGGATGATTTGGTGTTGGCGGTGCGGGGGGGGAGAGGGGGCATTTGACCATACTTCACCACGCTGGTCAATACGGGTTGGTGGAGGCGGGGAGCGCACAGGCACGCGGGCGCATCGTCGATGTTAATCGAAGACGCAATGAAGAATGATTGCCTGCCTACCTCCAAGTCGCCGTGACTAAGAGGCTGTAATGCAATTTGGGATGAACATTAGGGAGACGTTGGTGGAGACCGTAGCAGGGGGGAGAGGGGGGGGGGCAAGGTGGGGGCGGGGGGGTTAGGGGCGGGCGAGGTCTCATTATTCAAGTGCCGGGAACTTTGATTCGAGTCGAGAGGGGAGGCGGGGGGGATACTCGGAATCAGAATCATTTATTTAGACTGGAGGAGAAATCCAATAAGCTATGAAGCTCTTTCTCACAGACGTCTCGGCAGGGAGACGGGGTTCGAGTCGCAGTGAGACGGGGAGTAACAGCGCGACACGTGTAGAGACAAAGACAAAGGTCACCCTCCTCCCCCGCACCCCCGTGTAGCCTCAACAGACGTATGGGACAAGTGCCGTTAGTGAGCAGCACCTATGACGGCCGGCACGGCACGCACGAAAGGGAATGTATGGCGAGACGCACGCTCGACACACAGCACCAGGGACTGCGCCCATTTGATGCTGAGTCGACCTAGGGGAAAGCCCAGAACTGGCTAAGACAATAATTCATACTCTTAGTTCTTTCGGTAAAGTCACGTAGGTAAAAAATGAAATTAAAATTAATAAAAATAAAATAAATTGTGATTTTTATTTTATTTTTATTAATTTCAATTTCATTTTTTACCTACGTGACTTTACCGAAAGAACTAAGAGTATGAATCCTTGCAGTCACGAAAGCTTCAAATCTAGAATTAAGACAATAATAATAATAATCGGGTTCGTAGCGCAGCGCGCTAACCGCTGCGCCACCGCTCCCCCGCGGGGCGGCGTTGACCGTGACCGCGTGCGCGCGGTGCGCTCCCGTGGTGCCTCGCTCCGTTGCGGCAATCAACGGGCGCGGTTGCGACAGCGCGCCCGGTCTCGCTCGTTCCTCCGCACATTCAGCAACGCGATGCGCCTTGGTGCTCTGCGGGGAGGTGGGGGCCGGGGTGGGGAGGGGAGGGGGGTGATGGGATAAAGAGCAGCATGATGCGGTCGAGTCTCTTCACGTGGCGGGGAGGCTCTGTTTGGTCTGGATGTGAGATTTTAGTGGCTTTTCAGAGGACAATTGAGCAAAAAAAAAGGGCAGCTTCTGAGAATATTTATCTTTTTGTGTGTGTGTGTCGAGGCAATTCCACAAATAGGCAACCTCGCGGATGAATCATACCCACGCTGGTGGTGTCACGTTTGCGGGTATCTCGTTGGCCACTGGCCGCATCTCTGTGGCACTTAAGCTCTAATGCCGCCGCCGCTGCTGCTGCTGCATGGCGCACCTATTTGATTCTTCAACGCTATTGTTACCTGGAATCAACAGGGAAGTTCAACATCTGTATGCATTGCATCCTTCCTCTTTAGGCCCCGCCTCCGTCTTCTGTATGCTCCACCCCCTTCTGTATTAGGCTCCATCCCATTTCTAATTAGGCCCCATCCGTTCCTGATTAGCCCCCCCCCCCCCCCCCGGCGTCTTCTTCGCTCGGCTCTGCGCCTTTCCTTTTTTTAGGAACCGCCCCTTTCTGTTCAGACCACGCCCCTCCCCCCAGACACGGGGTGGTGGGGCTGCATTGGGTAGAGGCGGGCGGTGGCAGTCGGGGTAGGGGGTGGGGTGAATCCCCAGAGAGGAGCAATAGAAACAATAGATGATGTCACCGGTTTAAAACCAAAATGTGACGCAATTACGGGATCCGTTAATAGTTTGACACGCAGGAGGAAACTGAAAGCAGCATCGCCATGGCCGCGCTGATTGTACAAGTCAGCTCTTGCGGTGTTCGACGAATGCGCATTTTCTCCCCTTGCCACGGAATTACAGCAAAACCCGCTCGTGACGCCTCTGTCCCCGTGTCATTGCAACTAAACCGGCTCGTGACGTCACTGTTGGAATCCCATTTCGCCACCGCTTTCAGATTTCTCACTGCGGATAGTCACGTGACCGGCGGTAGGAAAAACAAATGAAATCCTTCCCTCGAAGCTCCCTCGCCCGTCGCCTTTGGATCTCATCCACCCTCCTTCCCTCCACCACCACCACCACGAACCCACCCACCCGTCAGCTCCACCATCCGCTCCCCGCTGCTATGGAGCAGAGTTTTTTGTTCTGGGAGGCGTGGCAGGGGGGGGAGGGGCGAATGAAAAATTAATCAAAATAATGACCTTGCGGAACGCACCGTAATAAGTGCGCGGCACGCAACATTGATCGTAAAACGCCGCCGTTTTGTCGGCCTTCAAGAGGGGCGCAGATAAATAATGCATCCGTCGCGATCAGCTGCCCGGACAAGCTGGGCTGTGAGCGCCGGGGTGGGTGGGTTGTTGGGTGGGTGGGTGGTTGGGTGGTTGGGTGGGTTGTTGGTTGGGTGGGTGGGTGGGTTGGTGGTTGGGTGGGTGGTTGGGTGGGTGGTTGGGTGGGCGGTTGGGTGTGTGGGTGGGCGGGTGGGTGGGTGGGCGGTTGGATGGGTGGGCGGGTGGTTGGGTGGGCGGGCGGGCGGGTGGTTGGGCGGGCGGGTGGTTGGGCGGGCGGGTGGTTGGGCGAGCGGGTGGGTGGGTGGGTGGTTGGGTGGGTGGGTGGGGAGCGGTGGTGTCGCAGTTAGCGCGCTGCGCTACGAACCCAGGCGATCCGAGTTCGATTCCCGCTCGCGGCCAACATCGATGACGATTATCTGAAATCGGTACTGGGCCTCCTCTAGGTCGACTTAGCCTCAAATGAGTACCTGGTGCGATGTGTGAACATCGCCACTGGGGAGCCAAAGACAGCCGGGCGTGGTGCTGGACACCCACCCCCTCGTGTGCCGTGCCGGCCTTCATAGGTGCTCGCTAACAGCACTTGCCCCAACAGTATGTTAAGGCTTTACGGGGATCTTTATATTTGTTGTGTCTGGCAGCACTGGGGGGTGTAGGGGTGGCTGTGTCTGAGTGTGTGTGGCGAGGGTAGGAGCGGTGGTGTAGCAGTCAGCGCGCTGTGCTACCAACCCGACGACCCGAGTTCGATTCCCGCTCAAGACCAACACCGGTGACGAGTATCTGAAGCCGGTCCTGGTTCTCCCCTAGGTCGACTCGGCCTCAAACCAGTCCCTGGTGTATAAACATTGCCACTAGGGAGACAAAGGCGGCCGGGCGTGGAGCTGGTCATCCGCCCCCTCGCGCGCCATCCCGACCTTCAGAGGTGCTCGCTAACAGCATTTTCCCTGACAGTCTATGAATGGATATTCAAAGGGGGTCTTTTTTTTGTTATGGAAGGGGGGTGGGGGAACGATTGTGCAGTGTTTGGCGCGCTGCGCTACGAACCCGGCGACCCGAGTTCGATCTCTGTCGAACTTCCTTGTTACTCCCTAACAGCACTTGCCCCAACACGCTGTTAAAGGCTACACGGGGAATCTGTCTTTTTTTTAGTGTGTTGGGGAGGTGGGGGGGGGGAGTTGTGGTGTGGGTCCAGGTTAATTTGGAGGGGGGGGTATGGAGCGGGGTGGGGCTGTGATTCGTGGAGTGCGCTCCCAATCTGGCTACCCGAGGCACGGCTCTAGACCACCCATCACCCATTTCCAATCGGCCAACCCCAGCTGCGAGGCGATGATCAAATTCTCACTTGCAATTCTCAACAGCTGTCCAAGATAAGGCGATTGCGAGTTTGAATGGGGGGGGGGGCGTGAGAAGATGCCCCCCCCCCCCACGCACACCACACACCACACCACAGAGTGTGATAATGCCAGGAGCATCTTACGCATGACAAGCCCAGGGGTCAGTGGATGGATCGGCTGCACAGCAGCGGGCCACGTGTCAAAGATATGAACTGGCATTCGAGAATTTCGACGCTGCAGTCGGAACACGTGCTTCTTCCGTTTGACGTGCTGTGAAATAAAGGGGTCATTACCCGAAACGTCGTCGATTTTACATCGTTCATTTCAAGGCTTATTTCTTTTGGTTTCACAAATGTGCCGAGTAGTTTTTTTAATAGCTATATATAATTGTTTACGTTTAAGTATTTTTTAGACAAACTGGTCAGGATCTTTTCGATTTAAAGCTTTCGTCACTGCAGGGTTTCATCTTCTTGGTTCTTTCGGTAAAGTCACGTAGAATGGAAGTAATACAATAAAAATGTATTACTTCCCTTCTACGTGACTTTACCGAAAGAACCAAGAAGATGGTCAGGATCTGTGCTCACTCGGGCGACTGGAGACACACAGACTCTGGACATGTCTTGACGCATCACTCTACCAGCATGCCACTGCGTATGCACTACGAATGCACAGTTGTAAAAAAAAGAAACAGATGGCAAATATACAATTGTGAAGAGGAACTAAAATAAAATAAAAACTGTTTCACTTACAATCTCATCGGTGATTTCTCAAGCTGTCTATATTCTTGCTCGGGCCGGGAATTCACCGATGTTGGAACACGATGCGATTGGTCATTAAATAGACCGCGGGCTGCACCAGCATCTGTCACAATCAGACTCTTTATTGAGACTGAAAGAATCAGATGAGCGGCGATGGTCGTTGTTTTTTTTTCCACGGATGTCCACTGTGTAGGGGGGGGGGGGGTCAGAAAGTGACGGTAACAAAAACAATACAAACGCCGATGGGAGTGCAAAGTGTATAGGGAATGAAAAGCAAGTCGCAAAATATAAATACAGATGATAAATGAAGTACAAATTGCCTAAGGACGTCGATTCTTGCCGTTGTTTTCAACAGCGAATGCAATCTTGGGCAAGGCAGCAAAAGAAAAAAATAAAAAGTGTTGCTGATATTGAGCCGATCTGGCCGATGATTTCCAATAGCTCTCACAGCCTTGATGTCTGTGTGTGTGTTGCAATTCTTTCGCGCACCGCACATAACGAACCGTGCTGTGTGTGTTGAACTTACACGGACCGCAAATAGCGAACCGTGCTAATCCAAGTTGCAGGAGCACCTTGAGCTAAACACACGGGGCATTGAAGTCACCTAGCGAGGTGACCAATTCTGAGAAGCCTCACGTCAGCCCGAGCACCTGGGACAAGGGGATTACAGACAACATCAGACTCCCATTATCTCTTGCCTGCGTCACTCCACACATGTGGAGTGGGAGGCGCAGGTCAACCATGACCACCACCATCACCACCACCACTACTCCTCTCGCTCGACGTTGATTGCGAGCCGAGCCACGGATCTGAAGCTCCTACGGATGCGAAGCTCACAATGACGAGCCGAGCGCCGGGAGGCAAGAACACAGCGAGCGAGCAGCGTGGTGGTAGGGGAGGGGGGGGCACAGGTGGTGCACTCATCTCAGTCGGTGAATCCATAATGCAATGGGGTCTGTCCCCGTGACCTCCTTGCCAGTAGCCACGGTCTCGAATTTCACCTTAGCCTGGCACGAGCGCCGTCGCTTAAGTGGTGAATGCTGTGTTCGGTGGGGAGCGGTGGTGTAGCGGTTAGGGTGCTGCGCTACGAACCCGGCGACCCGAGTTCAATTCCCGCTCACGGCCAAAACCGGTGACGATTATCTGAACCGGTCCTGGGCCTCCCCAAATGAGTTACTGGTGCGATACGTAAACATCGACACTCGGGAGACAAAGGCGGGTCGGGCATGGTGCTGACCACCCACCCCCTCGCGTGCCGTGCCGGCCTCATTAGCTGCTGCTCACTAACGGCCCCAACAGTTTGTTGAAGGCGACACGGGGGAATTGTCGTCTTCTTGCTTTGTGTGCCCTTGCACACCGCCGCTTCAATGGCTGCCTGCAGGCGGCCGTGCGAGGAGACGCCCCAGGCCCCCGTTCGCCCACTCGCCCACCCGCACGCCTGCCCGCTACCCGCTCGCCCACCCGCACGCCCGCCCGCGACTCGCTCGCCTGCTACCCGCTCGCCCACCTGCCTGGCCGCCCGTTCGCCCGCCCGCTACCTCCTCGCCCCCCCGCCCGCCCGCTCGCTCGCCCGTTTGCCCGCCCGCTCGCTCGCCCGTTTGCTCGCCCGCCCACCTGCTCGCCTGCCTGCTCGCTCGCCCGCTCGTTCGCCTGCCAGCCCGCCCGCTGGCCTGCCCGCCCGCCCGCTCGCTCGCCCACCCACCTGTCCGCCCGCTCGCCCGCCCGCCCGCTCGCCCGCTACCCGCTCGCCCGTTCGCCCGCCCGCTCGCCCACCCACTCGCCCACCCGCTGCCCGCTCGCCCGCTCGCCCGCCCTCTCGCCCGCTCGCCCGCTCGCCCAGCCGCCCGCTATCCGCTCGCCCGCCCGCTCGCCTGCCCGCTACCCGCTCGGCCGCTCGCCCGCCGACTCGCCCGCCCACTCGCCCAGCCGCCCTCCCGCACGCTCGCCTGTCTGTCACTGCCTGGCCGCCCGCTCGCCCGCCAGCTCGCCCGCTCGCTCGCCCACTCGCCCACCCGCCTGGCCGCCCACTCGCCCACTCGCTCGCCCGCTACCCGCTCGCCCGTTCGCCCGTCCGCTCGCTCGCTCGCCCACCCGCTCGCCCACCCGCTACCCGCTCGCCCGCTCGCCCGCCCTCTCGCCCGCTCGCCCTCTCGCCCGCTCGCCCGGCCGCCCGCTATCCGCTCGCCCGCCCGCTCGCCCGCCCGCTCGCCCGCCCGCTACCCGCTCGGCCGCTCGCCCGCCGACTCGCCCGCCCACTCGCCCAGCCGCCCTCCCGCACGCTCGCCTGTCTGCCACCGCCAGGCCGCCTGCTCGCCCGCCCGCCAGCTCGCCCGCTCGCTCGCTCGCCCACTCGCCCACCCGCCTGGCCGCCCACTCGCCCACTCGCTCGCCCGCTACCCGCTCGCCCGCCCGCCCACTCGCTCGCCCGCTCCCCCACCCGCCTGGCCGCCCACTCGCCCGCCCGCCCGCCCGCCCGCCTGCTCGCCCGCTACTTGCTCGCCCTCCCGCTATCTGCTCGCCCACCCGCCTGCCCGCCCACTCGCCCGCCCGTCCGCCCGCTACCCGCTCGCCCGCCCACTCACCCTATCGCCCGCCCGCTCGCTCGCCCGCTCGCCCGCCTACTCACCCTATCGCCCCTCTGCCCGCTACCCGCTCGCCCGCCCACTCACCCTATCGCCCGCCCGCTCGCTCGCCCACTCGCCTGCCCGTCCGCACGCTCGCCCGCTACTTGCATCACCCTCCCGCTATCTGCTCGCCCGCTTGCCCGCCCACTCGCCTGCCCGCTCGCCCGGCCGCACTCGCGGACGGCGCAATTTCAGAAATCGCCGGGGCCGTTTAGAGAAAATTGCCGCCGTGCAATTTCTGCAGCGCGATTGCACAATTGACCATAAAAAAGCATTAAATTAAAAAAGTACACGTATGTCTATATATATGTGTGTATATATATGTACATACGCGGCTGCTGCTGCTGCGTAATAACGCGAGCCCGCTGCATACGCAACGGCGTTCGCGGCGGTGCGTTTAACGTTGAAAGGCGGCGGCGGCACCGCGCAGCGCGTGGGCGGGCTTTGCGTGCCGCACGCGCGCAGAGTTCTCTCGCCGTCCGTGCCGAGGCGTCTCCCGCCGGGGTCCAAAACCCCGAGCGGTGGCGCCGCCTTCCCAACGTCGATTCTGTGCGACGGGTCAACCGCGGCGACGCTCACCTTGACGGCTGCCAGCGGCCCGAGAGGTTCATTCCTGTGCTGGCAGAGACGGCTGATGTCTTCTCGGTGTGAATCTATTAGACCTTTCTGTGTGAGCCTAAGGGTCTTTGTGAGTGTTAGGGGTCAATGTGAGTCTGTGGGTCTCTGTGTGAATCTATTATAACTGTGTGTGAGTCTAAGGGTCTTTGTGAGTGTTAGGGGTCAATGTGAGTCTGTGGGTCTCTGTGTGAATCTATTATAACTGTGTGTGAGTCTAAGGATCTTTGTGAGTGTTAGGGGTCAATGTGAGTCTGTGGGTCTCGGTGTGAATTTATTATAACTGTGTGTGAGTCTAAGGATCTTTGTGAGTGTTAGGGGTCAATGTGAGTCTGTGGGTCTCGGTGTGAATCTATTATAACTGTGTGCGAGCCTAAGGGTCTTTGTGAGTGTTAGGGGTCAATGTGAGTCTGTGGGTCTCTGTGTGAATTTATTATAACTGTGTGTGAGTCTAAGGATCTTTGTGAGTGTTAGGGGTCAATGTGAGTCTGTGGGTCTCTGTGTGAATCTATTATAACTGTGTTTGAGTCTAAGGATCTTTGTGATTGTTAGGGGTCAATGTGAGTCTGTGGGTCTCGGTGTGACTCTATAGCCCTCTGTGTGAGTCTGTCGGTCTATGTGAGTCTATGAGTCTCTATGTGAGTTTATATGAGTGTGTGGGTCTCAGTGTGAGTCTAACGGTCTATGTGAGTCTGTGGGTCTCTATGAGCCTCTGTATATCAGTGTGAAGCTATGGGTCTGTCTCATTCCTCTTCGTTTGGCCGGCGTTGGTATAGACTTGTAGAGCAACATCTATAAATTACGTTTGGGGTGGTTGATTCGTATGATTGCGGTCATGAGCAGCGGGGTGGTGCATCGCTGCTGTGACGATGACGATGCCCCCTTAGTTACGTGTGAATCGGGCAGTGAGTCGAAGTTAAATGTCCCACGGTTCTGTTCTGCGTGACCGCAGTAACCACAGTCGCACACTGAGAGAAAGAGCGTCAGAGAGAGAGAGACAAGAGTCTGTGTGCGCGTGTGTTTGTTTGAGGAGCGGCAGTGTCGTGGTTAGCGCGCTGCGCTACGAACCCAGCGACCCGGAAATCGACTCCCAACATCGGTGACGAAATATCTCAAAACCGGTCCTGGGTCTCCCCTAGGTGGACTCGGCCTTAAACATCGCACCTGTGTAAGAAAACATGAGCACTTACGGAGACAAATGATGGCCACCCACCACACGTGTACCGTGCGGGCCTTCATCGGTGCTACTCGCCAACAGCCCTTGCCCTAACAGTCTGTTGATGGCTACACGGCGGCGGAGGAGGAGGAGGAGTGGGGGGGGCGGTCTTTGTCTTTGCTGTGCTCTCCCCAACTTCATGCGGGAAGAGTCGCGGAGAGTTGCGAGGGCAGTTTTGTGAGAAGGCTAGCGGAGATGGGGGGGGGGGTGCTGAGAGGGACAGAGGGCACGGTCAGCTGTAGTGAGTGGGTGGGGGGGGGGCGAGGAGAGGGGGGAATAGGATGATGGTGGGGGGCAGAGTGGGGAGGGGAGGCTACTACTGCTGATGTAGCTTCTCGCCTGACTCAATCGGACCGCTGAGACGAAGCCCCTAATCGCCTGTTAATTCTCACGCCGTGTTTCGCCGCGCTCATTAGTAACGCGTACACGCGAGGTGCCTGCATGCGTCCTTGCGTGTGCTTGTGTGCGTGCGTGTGCGTGTGTGTATGTGCGCGTGTGTGTATGTGTGTCTATGCGTGTGCGTGTGGGGAGAGGTAGTGTAGCGATTCGCGCGCTGCGCTACGAACCTGGCGACCCGGGTTCGATTCCCGCTCACGGCAAACACCGGTGACGATTATCTGAACCGGTCCTGGGCTTCCCCTAGGTCGACTCAGCCTCAAATGAGTACCTGGTGCTATGTGTATTTGAAACCGCACCACTGGTCGTGTATACGTCGCCACTTGGGAGACAAAGGCGGCCGGGCGAAGTGGTGGCCACCCACCCTCTGGTGTGCCGTGCCGACTGTCATAGGTGCCCGCTAACAGCACTTGCCCCAACAGTCTGTTAAGGCTACACAGGAGAGCTTTGTCTTTGTTTCGTGTTTGTACACCCCGCCATTCGGGCTGGGTGTCCATAGTTTTGACCGTGGGAGCTACTTTCATCTCCATGTGCACCCATCTCCGCCGGCCATCATCATCAGCAGCATCATCAGCAGCAGCAGCAGCATCAGCCATGGTCAATCCACTGCTGGATTTCAGACCTCCCCAAACCCGGCCCCCGCCTACGCCATCTCGCACGATCCTAATATGCAACAATCCCGCCGTGCACGAGCTGTTTTCCGACGCTCCATCTCCTCCACGGTCATCCAGTGGGTGGGGGGGGAGAGAAAGGAAGGGAGGGGAGGGAGGGGGGAGGGGAGAGAAAGGAAGGGAGGGGAGGGAGGGAGGGAGGGAGGGAGGGGAGGGAGGGGAGGGAGGGGAGGCAGGAGGGAGGGGAGGGAGGGGAGGGAGGGAGGGGAGGGAGGGGAGGCAGGAGGGAGGGGAGGGAGTGGAGGGAGGTGAGGCAGGAGGGAGGGGAGGGAGGGGAGGGAGGGGAGGGAGGGAAGTGAGGGAGGGAACAGCGATCCAAAGTGAAGAAGTTTCGGGCGGATATGCAGGCAAGGTAAAGTCTGGTTGAAGCCACGTGACCATCCTTCCCACCAGAGCTGCCAAAAGTCGGTGTCAATCCCCCCCCCCACCCGGCCTCGCTGCGCGTGCAGCCCATGAAAGCGCTGCCCGTGAACATCTCCACGGTCGCCAATTATCCGGCAAGACACGCAACCCCCTGACACCGC